GAGTTTCACTTTGATTGGTGAAATCTTACCACGCTAATAGGGAGAAAGCAATGGTGGGGGGGGGGGGGGGGACGTACCCATGTTTCGCGTGCCTTAGTTGCTAGACCATTGACCGCGCCTCCTTGAGAGGATGGATCATTGCTGGGTGGGGGGCAGATGCCTTAGTTATTGCTAGACCATTGGCCGCGTCCTCGAGAGGACGGAGCACAGGGAGGGTGATCGGCCGGCGAGTGTCAGGGCTGGGTCAGCGGCGTATCAAGGGGGGTGACGACGGTATTGGTAAATAAGGGCGTGCGTGTGTGAGAGAGAGGGCTCGCGGGGCGGGAAGCCGTCTTGGCCGCTGGGTGGCTGTCGCACACAACAGCGTGACCCGTACGTAGGCATCGACAGCGTGTTGAAGATCCCCACGGCGACCATAATTCCAATGATGGTCTAAACCGTATGTATCAGATGAAGAATCATAGGACCCCCATGATCTACCTCCAAGGTTATTGGAAGGAAACTCCTGACGGAAAACGAATCTATCGCCAAAATCATCGGGCAAAACAAACCAAGCGATCGAACTGGAGTGAACACCCTAACCAGGCAAAGCAACGGCGTCCACGCGAGCAGAGCTTGTCAGAGGTCGTTTGGCGGGTTCGGAGGGAATTGTGAATCCCAACTAAGACGTTGAGGAATGGCTGTCCATCCTTTCTGGGACATGTCGCCCTGGGGGCTCCGTCCCACCACAACTTTTCTGGAAAAAAAAAAAAAACATGGCGACGTCACCGGCTTCTCGGGTCGGGTGTGCGTCCCTCTCTCTGTCACTCCTTCTCTCTCGCTCGTGTGTGAAAATCTTAATATTTACCCTCTTGTCTCCGCCCCTTCTTCTTCACCCCCGTCCACTATTCCGCGATGCTCTCCGTCGGTTGTTCTACACGATCTCTGACTTCTGGGGCTATCTCTCTCTCTCTCTCTCTCTCTCTCTCTCTCTCTCTCTCTCTCTCTCTCTCTCTCACCAGCCAAACCCTCAGCTCCTGCTCATGCCGCGACCCTCGCTCCAGCATCTGTTGGGCCATCCTCCAGCCCGGTTTCACGACGGTCGCCTCTAGCTTCCGCTTCTTCTGCTTCACCCAAACCTCCTTCTACTCGTCCCGCGAGCAAGAAAAGAGAGAGAGAGGGAGAGGGAGAGAGAGGCAAGATCGCGAAGGTCGTGGTTGTGTTCACCACAAAGCTTATTAACGTTTACCAACATAGCCTTCAGAGTGCGGACATTCGCATAGAAAACCTACGTGGGCTGGGGTAGAGGACTCTATTCAGCCCAGCCGACCGATCAAGCTGACACAGTCCTTCTTAGCTTAGCAACCAACGCCTGTGTGAGGCATGTACCCGTGCTGTATGTAGAGGCCAAGGGAACTGCCCCACACTCGTCCCTGGGGCTGGGCGGTGCAGGGCCTTACTTCTTTGGATACGTCAGCCCCGGCTTCCCTGCAACTTTGGCGTGAGAGAAAAATGCACTCATAAACAACAACAACCACGGTGAAAACAAAACTGGTGGCCGGAGGTCGCGGGGGGCGGGAGCTTTCGGAACCAACCAAAAACAACAAGTGCTGCCGTAGGGCGTGGGTCACGTCTGTGCTTTGACATGATAGCTAGCTGCTGGCACCTTGAAAGTCACTCCGTTACACCTCGAAACCCACCACGCACACGCTTATTCTTACCAGAAGCGTCTCATAGTTCGGGAACTCGGACACCAGATGGTTGTCCTGGATGAGGCCAACGGCGGTTTCGAACGCCTCCGCATCTGTGGCCGCGGGTATCAGCGCTCTGGCCAGCGTCTGTCGGGGCAACCCCGCCGCCGCGGTCGAGACAAGCCGCCTCGCCGGCTCCCACTCCTCTTCTAGCATCGCCGCGGCTATAAGCTTTTCTCGCGGAGAAGCGGGGTCAAGGGACGGGGGGGGGGGGGGGGGGGCGTACTCATAGTCGTGCATGCCGTAGTCGTTATACCATTGACCTCGCGTCCCTACAATGCCGGGGCGGAGCGGTATGCCGGGGTGTGTGTGCTGGAAACTTGCCGGGTTTTGGGGGGGTTGACCCGCTGCCAATGCCGGGTTTTCGCCAACCAAGGCTAAGTTTGACAAAGATGAACCAGAAACTGGTTTATCTTCCTTTCTTTTTCCCTGCCAATGCCGGGGGCCTACTTTTTTTTTTTTCATTCCTTAACGGTTAACCATTTACCACCCCTCCCCAAAAAAAAGGGGTTTTTTCCCCCAAAACCAAACACCAAAGGCCAATCTTTCCTTCCTATTTTTCCAAAAGGGGCTCAAAAAATTTTTCCCCAATCTTTCTATCCAAAAAAAATCCCTTCCCCCCTTTTTAAACCATTTCCTATTCCCCAAAAAAACTATCCTCCTCCCCTCTTTATTTTATTCCCCAAAAATTTCCCTTTACTTCCCCCTAATTTTTCCCCACTCAATCTTTTAATTTTCCCTCCCCTTTTTTTAAACCCAAAATTCCCCCTCTACATAAAACCCGTTTTTATTTTTAAAACCCCAATCCCATTTAAAATTTTCCCCTTTCTCCTCTACCC